CCCGGTATTTTGGCGATATCTCCTTCGTTACTTAACGTAATCACGAACCGTTTGTTGGCTTGGATTTGTAACATCCGGGGCTACAAGTTTGGTATAATAAATAATTCGAGATAATGAATAGAGAATTACAGAATTGACGACGAAGTCGCTGCTGCGTTTTTCACTCAGGATTTTGGAAAACTTTGATATTTCTTCTTGCTCCTTCTTCTTCCCTTGGCTCAACAATGGAGTTGAGAATTCTTCCTCCTGAGTTTCTGCCGAGAGAGGGAGAGGATGGTGATGGGATGAATGATGGATGGATGATGGTGGTAATGTGTGAGGATGGTGGTGGTCCTAATGTGGTTTGATTGAGGATTGGAAGAGATGGGGGGAGTGTCTCTACGTGATTTGGAGGGTTTGGAGAATCAAGTATATTCTCCTACTCCGTAACTGATAAACTGGCTAAAACGGTACGCGCTTTTTCGCCCAAACTGTTCCGTTTTGAAAACGGGTCGCGTTTTTGGAATCAGATTGTCAAAACTAGAATTTTGATATAATTAAAATATTTTTCTGGAAACTTTTATTTTTCAGTGTTCGGGTCTGCCTCAGTCATTAACTAATTTTTAAATTAATTAATTCTTTTAGGCCTAATTTCGGGGCGTTACATATTTAACACTTACCATTTCAAAAATATAATTTATTACACACTTTTTTGGTGTTACTTACCATTTCAATATTTTATTTTGTTACACACGTTACATCTTAATCAGTTTCACATGTGTTTGATTTAGGGATAAAGACCAAAGTAGGACTAAAACATTGAAAATATATCAAAGTAAGACTTCCATGTTTTTATTCTCGAAATAAGACTAAAAATGCATTTACGTTACCAAACATGGTCATGTACATTACCAAAAAATATAGTAATGTGCACATGTAGAGTGCCACATTACAATCACATTACCATTGTGTAAAGTCTTATTTTGGAAAAAAACATGAAAATTATATCTTGGTATTTTTCTCTATGTTTTAGTCCTATTTAGGGTGATTTATATTTAATTTATTACACACAGTACCATGTTAAATAAAAAAAATTAATTACCCTTTAATGGTGATGATATGTATGGTGATTAAGATATTTAATTAATTATTAGTTAATTAGTATTTATTATTTAATGTTATTTAGTTAATAGGGTTTAGGGTTTAGTATGGGCCCGAGCCCATTAAGTCAATTAGCGTATCATATTACTCTCTCTATATATTGTAATCCTTTCCCGTTATTATGGAATCAATCAATAATCAAGAATTCTCTTAATCTCTTGTCTCTCTTCTTTTGGAGCTCGGAAACGCTCGAAGTTTTCCACCCTTCTCTACCTCTTCTTCTTGGAACTTGAAGAATCTTCTTTTAATCTCTTATCGATCTCTAAACTGTCTGCGCTTCTTTAATTAATGAAGTAGCAGTTAGTCAAGCAATGCAACTTTCGACGTTGAGCCAGGGGTCTCTTTGGAAACAGCCTCTCTACTTTCGAGTAGGGGTAAGGGCTGCGTACACACACCCTCCACAGACCCTACTCTTGTGGGATTTAACTGGGTTGTTCTTCTTCTTCTTCTTCTTCTCTCTTGGAGCTCGGAAACGCTCGAAGTTTTCTTTCTCTCTTTACCTCCCTTTCTTGGAGCCCGAAGACGCTCAAAGTTCTTCCCTATCTGGTACGATATTCGTATCAATTGGTGCTCTCATTGAGAGTAACACCAAAAAAGTCCCAAAAAAACAAAAAAAATAAATAAATTGTGCCGATCTAGTTGCAGACGCTGTGTCCCTGTCCCCGCCGCCCAAATTTTCACCGATCTGAAAAGCAGAAGCAGGGCATACAAGAAAACGCCACAACTACCTTCCAGATCCATTTGACCATCTACAAAATACTTTTGTTCCATCCGGATTTGATCTTGTGATGAGTAGAAGAGCAATTGTGCCGCCACACTAATTAACTTTGTAACAAGATTATTGTCCCGCTGCAATCCCCTTGTTGATTCAAGATCCAAAAAGTAGGTGCCACCCCACTTTTTTTTAGTGGAGAATTCTACGCACCATTCCAAAAAAAGTTGGTTCAAATTTCTTGCTCTGCGACTACAGTTCTTTTAGTGATATTTTTTGTATGGCAGTGCTTATTTTTTAAAATGCACTCTGCATTTGACAGACTTATTGATTTGCTAGAAAACGTTTTTTATGGAGAAATTGAGCATGATGAAGGAGTGCGTATGGTTTTTGATCATGTGTATGAGACCAGTATGAAGCTCAGATCGATCATAATTTTAAAGGGCAAATTGATTATGATGCCCTCGACGTAGAAATTTTTGCTCGGTACAGGATTTGGTTCGTGGTCCCCAAATTTTGTCGAGTTTGATTTCGTTGGAGCTACAAAATTTCGAAACAAACATGATGAGGGTCATCCAGAACCTCACTAGTGCCCCACTTTCTCCACCAAATTTGGCTCTTGTGGTCACCGTACAAAACACTGAGTCTCATGAAGAAGAATTAAAGGATGACACAAGCGTCGAATCACATGTTGGGGATGTTATGGACAGGAGGCCTAAACTCATGAATGAAGATGACGAAAGGTCCAACACCGCTAAAAATAATGAAGAGCTTTCCCTTCTAGAAGGTGCCAACAAGGTGGCAGATGCAGATAATAAGCATGCGGACAACCCCTTTTCATTTGACACCATTAAGTTGTTTGACAATGTTGTTGCAGTCAAGACAAAGTACCTAGTTTCACCGAGAGAACCTACACTAGCTATTGGCTCTATCTCACATGTTCCTCGGTTTGCTCTAAGATCCAAGATGATTGAAGATTCAAAGAGTGGACTGCTCCTTTGGTTCAGCATTCTTTCTCCGATTTTAAAGCACAAGTAGAAACCTCCACCTTGAAGACAAGGTGGTTTTTAAGGGGGTGAGAATGATATGTATGGTGATTAGGATATTTAATTAATTATTAGTTAATTAGTATTTACTACCTCCGTCCCGCTATATTCGTCCACTTTTGACTTTTGAAACTGTTTATCTAAGCACTTTGACTCATCAAATTCTCTCAATGTGTAAGCCTAAATATAGTCATGTGTGATCTTGTTTGATTTGTCTTAACATATAAATTATTAATATATAATTTCTATAATTTTTTATTATACAAATTACAAGATAAAATGGATTAAAGAAATGCATTGGATGGTGTGTAAAAATGAAAGTGGACAAATACTCTGGGACGGAGGGAGTATTATTTAATGTTATTTAGTTAATAGGGTTTAGGGTTTAGTATGGGCCCGAGCCCATTAGGTCAATTAGCGTATCGTATTACTCTTTATATATTGTAATCATTTCCCGTTATTATAAAATCAATCAATAATCAAGAATTCTCTTAATCTCTTGTCTCTCTTCTTTTGGAGCTTGAAAACGTTTGAAGTTTTCCACCCTTCTCTACCTCTTCTTCTTGGAGCTTGAAGAATCCTCTTTTAATCTCTTATCTCTCTTGGAGCTCGGAAACGCTCGAAGTTTTCCTTCTCTCTTTACCTCCCTTTCTTGGAGCCCGAAGACGCTCAAAGTTATTCCCTATCTGGTACGATATTCGTATCAGGTGAATTGACATTAAGTACTTGCCAGTTCAAGGTTAGGAATTACCATTTGTGAGTAAAGACCATGTAGGCGGGAAAACGAAATGGGAGTTTCTCCTCTTTTTAAATAAAGTATAGATTTTACCATTTATGCTAAGCGATGTAAAATTTTAAATTTTTTTAAATCATTTTGTGTTAATGGGTATCCCATATATTTTTTTCAGTTTGTCGTAATAAGTCACAATGCTCAAACCTCGTTGTTTTCATGTCGTCAACTCCCGTTTGATTTGCAAAATTCTCAGGCCATTGACAAAGAGAATTTAACCTTGATATTATCCCATAACTCACTCACCATCTCCATGTGCAAGATTATGGTCTGAAGAGATGACTCGATTGTGTTCTAGATCCATGGAATAAGCACTGAGTTGTTCGTCCACCAATCATTCAAATCGCTAGAGTCCTATGGCGGCCAGTGGCGGATCCAGAAAATATTTTCACTGGGGGCACCTTCGATACACAACATACAATCTCCGTCTCAAAAATATTGTCTAACTTGGAATAACTTACAAAATTCCATCTCTTTTAAAGATGCTTTATTTAAAGTTTCTCGCTCTCGCTCCAATCGCCAACACTCTCACCGGAAAAAAATTTCGCAAACGTATTTTCAAACTCGTTCGTCATACAACGAAGATGTCTCTCTACATCTAGCGGTTATCCTCACGAATCCGCTTCCGTCGGGTCCATCCCAGTACCTGCGCTCCATTCTACTCCTCGTTATCAATGATCAGTTTGTGTGAACATTAAGAAGAAGAATTTATCTAAATATGATTAAAATATAATGACTTTCTCAATACAAGTGTTTTTATTTCCCAATGTAGGACCTTTGATCATTATCCATTAGCCATTATTCAAATAAATGTCCACCATCACTAAACATTATTCCTCCACTAGACATTATTAAGTCATACTTAGGGAATAAAAAAGTTTAAATCCTACATTGAGAAATGACTTATGTTTTAGTCCTATTTAGTGCAAATTAAATTTCACTATTTTTTAGGAATAATAAAGATAATAGGAAACATAATATTATTATTATTTACTTTCCTTATTCTATTGATTCTATACTTGTTATTATACTATGAATAAGATTCTCTCTTGTAATCATTATATATAGGGATGTAACATCCATTATTCAATAAAATCAATTATTATCAAATTGTATCATACATTAATTTTATTTATTAAAACAAGAAAAAATTGAACAAAGTTAAACATACATATACATATAATTAAGGACATATACATATACGTAAAAAAAAATAAAAAAACATATACATATTAATAATAAAAAAATTTTAGAATATTACAACTAAGAAAATGAAAAACTAATATTATTTGCCTTTAATTACTTCGTCATGCGAAAGTTGTATCTCTAATTATGAGGCACCATCCCAAAGACTGCTTTCCATTGATTTACTGTCCACTGGATTATACTGCCCTAAACGCAAATTTAAAAACATAATTTCACACATTTAGTTTAGAGCATCAATGGCAACTACAAGAATGAAATGTCACACGGTACCGTGAAATATTTTAATTAATTAAAAGGAATTCAGTCAACGTACGACAAGTGAGTAGAGTGGCGTGTAGCGCAATGACAAATCATTGTTTTTATTTTTTTACACTTTTTGGTATGTTTTAATTATTAAAAAAAAATTTAATTTGTCTTTTTTAATAAAAATAGGTGTACGCTTTTATTAAAAAAAAGCTTTTTATTTTAAGCAAAAAAAAAAAAAAAGGAAAGAAAATTGGCTCGTGCATGGCTCGGCAGGCAAGGTAACCCGCCTATGCCTCGCCGCGCTAAAAGACGATGAAAGCTGAGCTGACAGGCGCAGCAGTGACCTCTCCACGCCGCTGTCAATGCTCTTATATATACTTCTTTCATTCCAATTTAAATTGATTGTTTCGGTTTACGATATTTGGTTGATGTTATTTTGAATGCAATTTATTAGAGATTTGAAGTGAAATTAAAAATGAACTTTGCATATTAAAAAAATAGCATCAAAAGCTTTACGAAATAAGAGGTGACAACTGACAAGATATTTAATTTTTTCAAATAAATAATGAAAATAGAAAAACGTATAAAATTTAATTATACAAATAGTGATATGCAATTTACTTCAGAGCGGAAAGAATACGGTTTATTTTTTCTTTAACTTACAACATCCATATGAGTAGATGACTAAACAAACTTAAAGACATGGCCCGTCCACGGCTAGGTCGAAGGGACCACCGGTAGTTGACCATGTCCCGTCAAAGGAGTTACGCTTACGAAGGGCCCTTTTGATCTCCTTTAAGTAACAATTTTTATCAATAGTGGATTAACATACAAAGGAAGAAGTGTCTCAGAGGCTAGAATGGAGGGTGCAATAATGGGCTAGGGTGGGAGTTGGAAGGGAGAGTTGTTGTGAGCCATGAACCATTATTAACACGTCTAAAGTAATGGAGCATCATATGAGTGTGTATATATTTGTGGGGCCCCCAAATCGGTGATTAAGGGGTGCAGGGTGCTAGTGTAAGAACGGGGTGAAATTGTGGGATTGGGAAAACTTAGGAAAGATTCAAGATAGGAATTATCAATTATACAAACTGAGCACCTTAGGTTAAAATGGAGGAACCCTAAATCGGCAATCTAGGAGGGGATGGGGTGGGGCGGGGTGAAATTGAAGGGTCAGGTAGTTTAGGGGTGTGTTACGGGGTGGGAACAATCAACTTTACGAACATAGTATCATAGGTGCTTCAATTAGACCGGTTTCGTAATGTTACACCACTTGAAGTCGTGTAACATTACAAAATCACACACACAGACACATACAGATATATATATATATATATATATATATATATATATATATATATATATATATATATATATATATATATATATATATATATATATATATATATATATATATATATATAGGGGCTGGTTCCCGTGAGAATGCACTTTGTGGAGAGAAATGAGAATAAAATCTAGCCGTCGGATCTGATGCATCGTGCGGCTCAGATTGCATCCTGCGCTCAGATTTTGAGATAGTGCATTTTCGAAGGTTTATGGTGCATTTCGACGTGATGCATTTTCGAACCATTTTGGTGCATCTAATTTTGATGAAATCTTGACCCTTAGATCTCACAATCTAAAGCACCATATTCATTCTCATTTCTCTCCTAAGATTGCATTCTCACCAGAACCAAAATCTATATATATATATATATATATATATATATATATATATATATATATAATGCTTACTTGATTTCCTATTTTACCAAAAATTTTATTTCTCTCCCGTCTAAACAAATTTTAACCATATTTTTTTCTTTTTTTAACAACTTTCTTAAATTTTATAAAATCAAAGTGTCACAAATTTTATGTGGCAAAGGGGTACTATTTAAGACGAAAATATTTGGCCTAGGGGATAACTAAGAGAAATATACATTATCTCCGTCTCAGTGTATTTTATCCAGTTTGATTTTTTCGAGTCAAATAATTACTCCCTCCGTCCTAAAAAGATCTTCCTGTTTCATTTTTTGCGCATCCTATAAAACACTTCTACACACATTTAAAATGCCTCAAACTTGCCACATTTCTCATTTATTGTGGGTAGAAATTGTTTTGGAAGTTTTTTTTTGCATTTGAGGCGGGATAGAAGTGTTTTATGAGATGCGCAAAAAACGAAACAGGAAGATCTTTTTGGGACGGAGGGAGTAAATTGGATGAACTTTGAGTTTCAAGTAGTCTTAATTTATATTACTCTCTCCGTCTCATAAAGCTCTTCATGTTTCCAAAAAGACATGCTTTTAAAATGAGTAATTTTGGTATATTATTTTCTAATTATGACTCATCTATTATATATACGCATCTCATTCTACTCCATTATAAAGTAAGGGCAAAATTAAAAAATAACACTAAAATTACTCATTCTAAGAGTGCGTTTTTTTTTCAAATAGCACTAGTTTTATGGAACGGAGGAAGTATTGTATATTAATATAATGAAATAAAATTTGAAAATTATGGGTAGGATAAATCTTATAAAATTATCATATTTATAAGGATATACATTGAACTTTTTATTTGATTGAAACTCAAAGATCATTTTGTTTCACTCGCAAAAGTTAAACTTGACGAATACAAAGTATATACCTGCGTGAGAAAACTGTTGATTGAAACCATCTAGTGGGTGTTGGCAGGGGAGGAGAACCGCCGCCGCCGGCGAAGTGTTCTTAGCCTCCCACCGCAACTTTTGAAAATTAGTCTGATGGTGGTGGTGGTGGTTGGCCATGCCAGCAGCATAAACGTTATTGTTACTATATCCCACCACCGCCGGATTACGACTACTGTTGTGAATGTAATTATGCAACGGATGGTTATTATTATTATTGTTGTTGTGGTGGTGGCCGCCCCACCCAATGTGCAGGGCGGCGGCCGCCGCCGGGTCAAACTGGTGTTGACCCGTCCTGCACAACTTGAGCTCCTCCAACACCCGCCGGTACTCCCCGAGGGAGCCCAGCACGGGGTCGCTCTGGCGGCAGACGGCCTCCCACACCAGGGACTCCACCGCCCGCTGCCGGTCCTCCTCCCGCACGCTCCTCACCATCTTCGTCACGTTGCTCACCCCGAACACCTTGTGCACCGCCTGGAACTCCCGGCTCTTCTCCGCCGGGAAATACGCCGCCAGCACGCACTTCTCCGTGCACTTCTTGCGTTGGTGCTTGCATGAGGCGCACGCCCCCGCCGCCGCCGCCGCAGACGACGAGGACGTCGCCCCATTTATATTATTATTGCTCTTTTGCATCACTATAATACGGAGTTTATATTATTGTTATTATTGTTATTATTATTATTAAAAATACCATATATATATATATATACATACAGTTTGTACAATTAAATTATTATAGTATATACTACTCCGTGGAATATAAGTAAATGAAAATGAGACAATATATATATGAATACTTGGGTAATATTTTATGCCCCAAAACAATGAAAAGAGTGTTCCGGTATTAATTAAGTGATTAATTTACTGTGAAATACGACAATATAATATTTTGAAACAAGATAGGATAAGAGTAGATGAATTAAAAGTTTAAATTCATTAAACAATGGAAAGATGGCTGTTTAAAAAAAGATTTGTAGGTGGAGATATCTTTGAGTAATGCATACTCCGTATATGATTTTTTCATCATGCATCCATGTGACCGCATGTTTTTTTTAGTTTCTTTCAATCACCACCTCAAAATGTTATTTAGATTTGATGAATGTAAAATAACATCATATATATATTAAAGGTCTTATTTGGAAATGTTGTTTTCGATCAGGCATAGCACTAGTGTTTTAGACGACATTTTAATGGTATAAATAAATTCTAAAAACATTCAAAAAAGGTGGTCACACACAATTCACAAACAAAAAAGTATGATTCTATTTGGTATCAAAATAAATGTGCATCAAGAAAAATTAAAAAACTCAGGTCAAGTAAAATTAATTTTCTTTTGGGAATGAGTGTTATAATTACAAAATGACACATCACAGTCACATTCTCGTGACCACAGATACATTTATTCATTTAATGCAATGAATAAAAATAAAGTGATGCTTATATGGTCTTAATATTTATAAAATGAACATAGACCTTAGATCTATATAAAGATGTGCCATAAAAGTAAAACATGACAATCTATGATCCTCAAGTTTGATATGGCAAAGTCATATGATAGAATTGAGTAGGATTTTCCTGAAGTTTGCTTTTCAAATTAAGATTTTCAATAGCCTGTTCATAGGAGATAGTTGACATTTTCAAAATTTGTAGAGAAACAACCAACTAAATTATCAATTTACACGGTCGGAAGGTCTCTCTTAATAAAGAAGTATATCGAGAGAGAGAGAGAAGACAAGAATCTGCAGAGGACATTCTTCGAGTCAAAAACATGGTTGAACATTTTTTCAGAAAGTTGTGTTAGCCTCAATTAGAGTAGTTATACAAAATGCTGGCTTCATTTGGAAATAAGATTTGTGGTTAGAGTTTTAAATAATCTTTAATAATGTAGATCAACATAGAAAACTCTCTCTGTCCCTAAAATATTGTCACAATTTGACTTTTTTGATTAAATTATATCACTCTTTGACCACAAATCAAACATATTTTAAAATAATTAAATATTACTTGTATAAAATTTTGAAATTTCAAAACTAAATTTTAAAATAAATTTAATTTTATTAAATTTACATTATACCCGGAGTAATAAAATACTTTTTCATAATTTACAATAAAAAAATGCCACAACTTAACCAAAAAAGTAAAATTATACTCCCTCCGTCCCGTTTTAATCACCTGTTTTGACTTTTGTTATATTTAAGGAAAAGAAAAAATAGAGTTGATTTTCCAAAATTGTCAGTACTTTTTAGGAGGGATGACGATGAATGAGAAGATAAGGTGGAGAAGAGTGACTTATTTTAAAGGTAGTTTAGATGTTTTGCTCTTAAAAATCTACGAAAACAACTAACAGACAACTTATTTTGAGACGGAGAAAAAAAAGCAAACAGATAATTTAAAATGGGACGGAAGTAGTACTTCGTAGAAATCTTATAGAAACGGAGAAAAGTATGGTTTTTCAAAATATGGTGATGAATACTAACTACTTTTGGCTACTTTAAATAGCCGCTCACTTTCCCCGGATTCTTAAGATAGCAAAAAATGGGACTCACATTTGAGCATCACATTTAGTGATCCCACATGTTCTTTACATATTCCACTCAACATTCAATACACATATTTCATTCTAAACTACTCGGTACTTTTTACATTCAATCCTCGGTTCCTCCATCTTATATATTGTTCACATTTAAATGCATTTTTAGACGAGGATTTTCTAGTGAATGAAATTCTGTGGTTAAGATTTTATTAAAAAACACTCCATATGAGTTATTATAATCACAAACATTTTTGAAATAACTTTTTTGACGAACCGAAAAGAAAAGCGTGAAGAACACCTAGTGCGGGACAGTTTTCAAATTACCGTTACATAAAATCACATTCGATGTTAAATAAAAACAGGGAAAAACAAAAAATATGGAAAACAAATACTCCTAAATGAAAATTTAGATCCATGTAATGATGCTTATGAACACACACTCACACAGCCAGAGTCAAAGGTGCACTATACTTAGATAAAAACAAGTGCGTGCTAACATGCCCGGATGCCCCTGTTAACTAAGTTTTCTTCAAGGCACGGGGAAACATCATCGATCATTTTCCTAACCCCCATCGTTTTTTACCTGTAGAAATCAAAGTCGGTATCAGGCTTCTTGACATTTGTCCTGTACCCCTTCTCGAAGTCCTTGGGGAGAATGACATAACGGTTCTTGCGTACTGCATGCATTCCTGCTTCTTGACAGATTGCAGTGATCTGACATTACAAATCAGGGTCATTAATCCATTAGACAATGATCTTCACGGGCAAAAACATGTGCAGTGCCATTAAAATCTGCCTAGGACTCTCCAAAACCAACACACACACACACACATATCATGTTTGAAATGATGTAGTGCCCCATGTTTATACATATATATAAGTCATGTTTGCAAGCTGAGATAAAAATGTTTAGTAGTGTCCCACTTCTATATAAAACCTTCTATATGTCGTAAGGTGTCCCAATTTGGGGAAAAGGAAACTACATTTTCATGTAATTTACCAAAAGAGAGACATTAACATTTTACATGTGATAAATTTAGGTAAATCGCTAAACAGATTTTTTAAATTTAAGTAATATTAATGATGTTGTACATTTTGTCAAACTGGAATTTTTTTTGGACAGAGTAGTTTTAACATAAATTCTATCATCTATCCTATAGCCGTATGTATTAGTGAGTATTTAAGTTTCCTTTAGTGTGCAATAATAATTACACACATAGTGAACACTCACTTGTGTTTACTAAGCACACAGCTTCTATTTAGTGAGGAATACATTTTTTCATAAATATGCCTATGTTTGTACCATAAAATACCCTAGTTTTAGTTAGATAGAAATTTTGCATGCAATTCATTAACTTCACTCTTTTCTTTTCCATCTGTCCCAAAATAAACTTCACACTTCCCCTTTTTCTTATTAAGTAATGTAATATGTGGCTCACAACTTTTCTTTCAAATCTTGTCAAATTCCAACCATACACCTAATTTACAACACTTTTCTCAATTTTCATGAACTCAAAGCATAAAGTTTACTTCGGGACTGAGAGAATATATTAATATATGTATCCAAAAAATTATCTCATCTTTATCAATCAAATTATGCTCAGTTGAGAGAAGGTATAGGGAAAAAAAACCTCAGCTGCACTGATCTTATCTGGCCGAGATACGTAGTCTTCCAAGTCTACCTCATCACTCAAGTTCATTTTTGCAGTACAGACCTGAAAAACTTAAGCAGTTCAATATTTTTTGCAATTTGAGATCTAATATCTATCATTCTTTCATTGTAGTTGTGAGTGTAAGAGGGAAGGTAAGTTGGAAGATCCTAGAAAATCAACCTGGAAAACAAGCCTCTTTTGACGTCTATCGGGCAATGGAAATTCAATCTTGCGGTCAAGCCTTCCAGGACGCAAAAGGGCAGGGTCCAATGTATCTGCTCGGTTAGTCGCCATTATAACTTTCACATTAACTGTCTGGTCAAAACCATCCATCTGCAGGAAAACCCATCAAATTTTAGCCTATGTATGGAATGTCAAAAATAATACTCCCTCCGTCCCCCATAGATCTTCTCATTAGCCCTTTTTATTTGTCCCACATAGATCTTCTCATTACCTTTTTTAACATTTAAAATACCACAACTACCCCCACTTACTTTATTTATTACACCTTTTCCACCTTATTTAGTACACCCCACCCATTTTCATTAAGGCTATTTTGGTAAACTTTCACTATTTTTCAACTCTCCTTAAAAACCGAAAAAAGTCAAAACGAGAAGATCTTAGGCGGACGGAGGGAGTAGGATAGAAGAATATTTGTCATGGTAAATACCTTTTTATGTTTGTTTTTACATTGAAAAATATGAAGGAAAACCAGAATATTTGTCATAGAATTGTAATTTAAACAAAAACAAGTTTGGACAAATACTAAATTTGATTCCTTGAGTTTGAACAAAAAAATTCCATTATTTTCTCTCCTTGTCCCGCTCTATTTTATTTCACTAACATTTAACAGGTTCCAAACAACTCATAAACTCATAAGCAAAGGAAATCATGTGACAGCTTCTTAATAGAGCTGAAAGTAAAACACATTCATATGAACTTTATTAACAAACAAAGAAGAAAGGTATACCTGATTCAATAACTCCATCAGGATACGCTGAACTTCTCTATCAGCTCCAGTCTGAGCATCAAACCTAGCAGTGGCAATCGCATCAACCTCATCAATAAAAATGATAGCTGGGGCATTCTCTTTGGCAAGGCGGAAAACATCACGAACCATACGTGGACCCTGCAAAAATAAGTGAGTGGTGATAATGTGACAAATATAAATATATAAAAGTCAATGTAGGTTGCTCTTGCTATTTACAAAGTGGCCAGTCAGTCCAAGCACGTATGACTTGTGAGTTTGGAGATGAGGATATGCATACTGCATCTTGATGAGTAATTCTACCAAGGGACACTTTGGGGTGGTTCAAAACATGTGAAGTTTTTAAGTCCATCACACTGTATGAGAACCCACAATTGATTGTTCATCACTGTTTTAGGTGTGCCTCTATTGAGGCTAAGGAAAACCACACTAACGTGTAGAATGATGCTATGCAGAGAGGCTTACTGCTCATATGGTTAAGGCTTGTGAGTCATATGCCCTGGTTTTTTAGTTTAGGATTAAGCCTCATAGCTGTGATGGGTTTTGAGACACATTCAGTCTTATTATTTTAACATGTAAAGTATGTTAGTGTTTTTATTGGCCTTACTTATTTACACTCATTAAAGCCGATAACCCAACACATAACAATACACAATCCTTCGTTGTGGAGGTTTATATTCAATAACTCCTTGCAGAGTTGCAGCAAACCCACAAAGAAGCTAGTTCCTCTTATTCCCAACCCACAAAAGGCATCTTTTTGTAAATGAGAATAGTTGTTTAAGACAAGATGTGCACCGATGCACAAAGAGGCTTTGGAGCCTCTATGCGCGATGCACATTGACGAGCGGCTTGAGCGCAAATTAGGGACAAGTAGCATGGTAGCTCTAAATTAGCAACAATACATAGAATATTTTGAAAGACAAGTAAAATTTCAGAAAGCAACAAAGATTCAAAGACACACATAGTACCATTGACATAAAAAACTAAAAGTTTAAAGAACTAAAACAACCAGTGCCAAAAACAAAACAACATGTCACAAACAAAGAACGAGTTGTGGAACATAAAACAATGAGAGAAGCCTCAAAGAATGTGTAGTTGCAAAACTCATAATAAAAAACAAAAATTATACAGATAAAAATATTGCTGAGTCTAGGCTTGCTGCAACACTTTCATGAAGATGAAAAAAAAAATTGTTCGGATAAAAATAACCTACTGAATAAAAACTTGCAAAAGAAACAAAAAATGGAAAAAAACTTGTGTCACACTTGACATAAGCTTGCGTTCTAGGAGAGTGCAAGAAACCAGTGCAGGTCAAGGAATTGAGAAGAAACAGGGAGTCGAATGAGGGAGAGTTGCTGCGACTCTTAAGGTCGTACGGCACAAAGAAAATAGAGGCACAAGAGTCGCGTTACAAAAGTTGGAGCGCAACCCTAAATAACACCAATTTTTTGAAGTAGTAAGTGGTTGGGAATACGTGCATTATAGCACATCAACTTGCATCACATTATGCAACAACGCGCTGTTATCTGCACGCCTCAAGAACATTACCCGCGTCGTGATACACAACCCTTAGAGCCTTGTGCACATCGCGCCTCAGGCATGCTTTCACATCGCGCATCGTGCACATCTCCCCTAGCACAAATGAGCACCATCCTAGAGGTGCTTTCCATGGTTATCATGTCAACCAGTCAAGTTGAGTCAGTGAAGAAGAGACTAGTCGATTAGTCAACAAGTCCTAAATACTAATAAGTAATATTTTTTTAATAAATATAAGTGCGGAGTATATCACTAAAGATAACCATATATTTAAAAGATAAATTATCATTAGCAGTACAAAATTAAGTTATAACCCAATAATTGTCAAAATACTACGTCAAATTTATTCTCAACAACACAACCAAGCCTTAGCCCACTAGGTGGGGTCGGCTACATGGATCAAATGACGCCATTGCACCCTATCATGTATCAAATTTGCAGCGAGATGTCAGCTTTATTCTCAAACCCAATAAAAAAATATTAAACTTAACTTCAAAGCAAATTGCAAGATAAATAAAAAACAAAACTAAAATTCAAAAAAATGGCATGTGAACGGAACTCTTAATGAAACTATCCAACCCACAAGCAATTTCCTCAAACCCATCAAAAATTAAAAGCAATTGAAATTAAGGGATTCAGATCTAACCACAAGCAATGGACAAGGGGTGGTAGGGTTTTTTTTTACATTAAATGAAATTAGGGTCTAGTCGATGCGCCAACCGGTACCTAATTTTTGACTTGGCGAGTAGTCACCAACGAGGCTACAATGTACTAACAATGGTGCTTTGTTAATCATACCTTGACAAAAGGCTAGAAAATGATGAAGAATTCCTCTAAATGTCACTCTTTAATAACCCGGACAATGAGGAATGGGCCACTAAACGAGGAAGATTGATTATCATATTTGAGTGATAGCTTTGTGCTTCATACCTACCTTTTAACACTTAATGGATATCCTATATCAAGTTTGAGGATCATACCATAAGCCACCTTGCTCGTCCTCGCACGCATAAAATGCATCAAGGCTTAATTCCTACCTCTAAACCCAAAACAAATTACTGTGTAAATAACTACTCCCGGGATAAAAAATTTGGTCGCACAACTCAATAACTCAAACATGCAAATATTTGATGAGAAATGCTTGAATACATAAAACTTGGGACTTGGGAGCTTGTGGGAGATGTAAGACATAAATTGGTTCAAGATCTCATAAAACAAAACGTACATCTCTAGAAGAGAACTGAGATGGATGCATATAAGCTGTTTTTTGGGCAATAAAAAAGACACTCATTTACAAAAGAAGTGTAAAAAAAGAGTACAAGCATCAAAGCTAAAGGAAGTTTAAAAAACACTTGAGAACATACCTCACCCAAATACTTCTGCACAAATTCTGAGCCAACAACCCTTATGAACGCTGCACTTGTATGATTAGCAACGGCCTTGGCAAGCATTGTTTTACCAGTACCTGGTGGACCATAAAGCAAGACACCACGAGGTGGATCTATACCAATCTGCTTGTACAGATCATGGTGAGTCAAGGGCAACTCCACAGCTTCGCGTATTTCTTGTTTTTGAATGTCACATCCTCCAATATCCTGGTAATATCATAATATAAGAAAATTATTTTAAAGAACAACTAGCATAAAAAGAGGGTAGATATATATGCACACAATGTAAATTCATTACAGTTCAGCTCATAAGTCAGTATATTAGCAGATCTCAGGAAAGCTGTTAGTATAATTTGGCCTCTCCAAAATCAAAACAAAAGAAATCAAACCAGCAATAAATGTAAAATACAAAAACACTTGTTCTTCACGTTCAAAGTGTTCTAGCCACATTGATGTGTTCACATCCAGTGTCAACACAGGTGGACCGAAGCCAACAGGGACCACAGGCAGTCCGCACGACACAGAAGAAGGAAACAAAGAGGACTCTTTTATTTGGTAGTGCGCACGACACAGGGACCACAGGCAGTGCGCACAACACAGAAGTCCTAATTATTTGGTAAGTTCTAAATATTTTTACTCCCATCTATCTTTGATTAATGTTTTCCTTATTTTATGCTTCCTAGTCTCCTTTCCTTGTACGACTCTTAACTTTTAAACTCTATTTGATCCTCTTCTATATTATAGACTATTTGTTTTGGAATTAATTAAAAAGTAGTTGGGGTTCTAATTAAAAAACCTCCCCCCTACTAGTATTCTCTTTGTGTTTGCATCCCCGCCGTTCTCTCTTTCTTGATCGACTTTGAAGCAGGATCCCTGAAAACAGCATAATAGGCTTGCCGCCTTCCTCGGCATCTCAATTCCCATTTTTGATATGCTTTGTGGCATTACGTCCAGAAACATAACAAGCGCAGAACATAACAGTGTTACACATCACCTGCCTATACTCTATACATTATCCTCCAATATGATAAGAGGTAACTAATTCATTACTTGTCCCACAAGCCATTGGCGTTGATCTATTCTGTTCCAAATTAGTCCAAGCGGTATAAACTGGACAAATGTTTTCAAATATTTACACTTCAATTGTCATTGCTCCAAAGGTTAGAATTCATTGCTTTTTTCCCCAAAAGTCAATGGTAATAATGTAAGATTTATACTTCCAGAGGCATAAAGCCATAAATTGGACAAATATTAGAATGAGAAAATTGTTTTGCAATCCAAATTACAGTAGAAGGAAAAAATAGCTTAAGAAATTTCATAATTGAGAGAACAGACTTCCTACACGTACCACAATTTCAAGGAGCTCTAACTATGACATACAAAAACTTGTTTAGTTCATTAATTTCATTTCCCAAAAGTCATTGGTAATTATGTACTCCATCACATTTATACTCCAAAAGTATAAAGCCATAAACTGGAAAAATATTAAAATGAGAAAATTGTTTTGCAATCCAAATTACAGTAGCACAAAAAAAGAGCTTGGGAAATTTCATAATTGAGAGTACAGACTTCCTACAAGTACCACAATTTCAAACACTTGTTTTGATACAGTTCTGAGTAGAGCTGTAGTAGTACATCACCGATATTTAGCTAGTATTACAAGACAATTAAAGCTAATGTGTCTAATTTTATCAACGATTGAACTTTTGAAGCAAATTCCAACATTACCAGTACCACACTCCAATAAACAAAAGGCTTAGAAGTGTAGTAGGGTTAAATTTCTAAACCTTCATGTAAAATTTGAAATGTTATCCAGTGCCTTGAAATTCGGCAATTGAATCTAAAGGTTCAAAACCAGAATCAATACATCCGCCAATATTAAATTCATTCTTGCCTGTGTAGTTCTCACGTAGGTACTTCTATAATTTACTATCTGATTTTTTAATAATAACGCATAATTAAAACCAGCTCAATATTTGACCTAAGAGATAGGTTCTAAATTGAAACTTTTGGATGTAATTGAAATCATATGATAGTAAATGACCTTTTACATCCGTCAATATTAAATTCATTCTTACTTGTGTAATTCTTATGCAGGTACTTTTCTATAATTTACTATCTAATTTTTTCATAATAATGCATAATTAAAACCAAGTCAATATTTGACCTAAGAGATAGGTTCTAAATTGAAAGTTTTGGATATATTTGAAATCATCTGGTAGTAAGTGACTCTTGGATTCATGAACGGACTAAAAACAAAAGCACGTTTTTTTGTTGGAGGGATTATTCCTTAAACTAATTAACCTAGCACAAGGAAAAAAAGTAACTCAATAAGCACTAGACACAACATAATCGAAGTACTGAGGAATAAAAAAAACCATAGACTTACATTATAGGTAACATCAGGCTTTTCTGATTGGCTTAGCAGAGAGATGCTAGAGTCAGCCTCGGGAGGCAACACATCCACAAGAGCGTTCGAGTGGCGATGAAGAGCAACGGAAGCGGAGGTTTTGAGAAGCTCCCGATTAATGGTGCTGAGAATCCGAACATAGTAATTAGATCCAGTGGTAGAGCCGACGATGGCGTTGCTCTGGTCGATCATCTCCATGAACTGCCCAATTACGAGCGGCACCGATTGGATCCGCTTGACCTCCTCCTGGGCTCGGAGGTGCTCGCGCCTCAGGTTCTTGAGCTCATCCTTGACGTATTCCTCTTGGATCTCAATGAACTCGATCTGTTTCTGCAGAGATTTCAGACGCGAGTACAGATCGTCCTCACCGTCGTAAAATACGTCTTGAACCGATGTGTCGGTTCGAGTTGCCGGTAGCTCCACGGCAACCTTCGGAGTAGGAGTAGGGTCTAGAACCACGGGGGTCGCCATTGTTGCGGCTTGGAGCAGAGGAGAGTCGGGAGCTCGCGGAGAAGGGAATGGTGTGAGAAGCAAGAAAGCTAATGACAGAGCATCGTCGTGCTTAGGTCTTTTTTAATTGATCTGGTTTTGCTTACGGATAATCGACTGTGCATTCCGGAGAAATATGGAGTATATAAAGATACTCAGTATTTATCAGCCCATGAGAGCGCAAAGTAATTTCTTAGACCATCAAAGCCCAAATACACTAAAGACCAATTTATAACTTGACTATCACGCTAAGACTGTGTTCCGTTCAACTTATTTTTTCTACTTATTACTAATTTTTGTTATAATCATATCATATCAAACCAGATCAGATTGAATCAGAAATAGTTTTAATTATAATTGCAATCAGATTAGATCAGATCACATCAGATCAGACCAAATCAGATCTTCAAAAAAATAAATCAGATCAGATTAGTCAAACGGAACACATCCTAAGACAAACACCTCCAAATAGGAATAAAACATATGATATATCCTCTAAATAGAAGTTTAAACTCAAACTCAATTAACTAATTTAAGTTTTGACCGACATTTTCTCTCTCTATAATAGGGGTTGTGTTATTCCTTTTGGTCGAGATTTGTCGGCTCCTTATATTGCCATTACCCTTGAATTTGTGGTTTGTTTTTCTTGATTTTTAGCTCATTCTAATCATCTTCAGCAACTCTTTATGATTATGAGCTTTCCGCTACTGATTTAAGACTGAATCGAGGTCAATTGAAATTGAAGTCCCTCGAAGTCATTGTTCATTATAAGGCTTCGTAGGCTTGTTTTTGCTAGGTTTTGGCCAAATTAGAGCCTAATTCTTGAGGGATTGTGAGCAACTAGCTTAGCCCATTGATATTCTTAAGTTTATTGATCATTCCAAACAAGGGTTTTTTATTTTTACCAAGATTGGGTGTTCGAGCAATGTTCACAACGCGACTTAGAATTCCAATCCTGGGCAGGTTCTTGTTGTATCTCCTCTCGGTTTTCTAGTGTTCATTACACATTTGCATGTATGACTTTATACATTGGCATGATTGTCACTATGTGGTTACATGTGACATTATGTGTGATCTTATTTGACATTGTATATATAGACATTTTAATGTACAAATTTATTGAGTTTCTATCCACGAGGCATTGATATAGGTCCATCTCTTCTTTTCTGGGATTAAACAACCGCTTTTGTTCAATAATTTGTCGCCTGATATCGTCGTGAAATGAAACATAACCGGATCCAGAACCCGATACAATTGATTTAGCTTTCTCTATTCGATCGGGTGTGGAATGGTGTTGACGTCTTCTAAGACGTCAAGGTTGACGCGAGGCCTAAATCTTTGTTCCGATGAGCCAATAGTATCGTCCATGTCAATTTCGGCTCAAGATATTTTCTTTTACGAATTGCTCGTAATTAGTCCGGTCCTCACAATAAAAATAGGGACCAAATAAGAAAACATGTCTTATCTAGTCCGGTCCGTATTCTGGTTCGATCCATAGCCTGTACAACTAATTTGTTTTGGTTAGATCCAAAAGTTTTTCTAGAACGCAGGTATATAAGGAACAACATTTACTTATTGTAGACTTATAGTCTTAAATACTTGAAAGGAGTAGCACTTCGCTCTCTTGGTTTTTCGCGTATAATATGCGTATTATACACCTGTACGTATAATACTTGTATTATACACCTAAATATGAATCTTTTACGTGTCAAACGTATTATATGCATATTTTTGACCCTAGACATATTTACAAAGTTTATACATATTAAATCAAAAAAATCCTCTTCCAACGACTCCAACAATCAAAATTTGGAAGGTCAAATTTTAGATCAGAACAATTTACTTGATTGTCTTCCTCCCAAAAAATACAAATATTTTAAATTTTGCATCTCAACAACTGTAAAAAGTATTTTAAATCCAGATCGCGTTTCGAGTCATCAACCTTCGTCCTTTGTTAATTAAATATCATCCACAGTCTACCAGTCTCTTAGACTCCATCTCCCGAGTGTCCGAGACTCTGGCAGCTCTAGCGAATAGCAGATGGTAGAGTGTCATCCCACATCGGAAGTTCAAGAGCAAAATAATCGGTATATAAGCTCTTGAGTTGAACTAAGTAATCGATTGGATTCAATCTTTTAATGTGGTTCAACCCGAGTGTCTTATTACCCAATCTAGATGTCCATACCCCATCCTAAATTTTATCATGATATCAGAGTAGGTTTTGGCCCACCTCGTTTGTCAAGGTGTCCGTCTAGATGTTCATTCGTAGCGGCCCGTTTGTATTTAACCCAATTGTCAGTATGGAGTATGTACCCAACGGCCCGTGGTCCGTTTAACACGATTGCTCGTCTGGAAGTCCATACCCAGCGGCTCATGGTCCTTTAGGTGTTGGCGCTAAAAAAATTAAGGGAATGGGAGTTTATTTTCAAGTGGTCAACCAGTTAGATTCAAAATGGCCCGGTTGTCCACTTGGGGGGTATTAGAGTGTCATCCCACATCGGAAGTTCAAGAGCAAAATAATCGGTATATAAGCTCTTGAGTTGAACTAACTAATCAATTGGATTCAATCTTTTAATGTGATTCAACCCGAGTGTCTTATTACCCAATCTAGATGTCCATACTTCATCCTAAATTTTATCAGTAGACAACATCATTCTCCCTATTTGTTTAGAGTTTTAAAATGTAATCATTTTTTTGTAATTAGTTTTGTGCGTGGTTAATATCTATCCAAGTTTAAACCGAGTTTAAAAATACAAATTTGATATCATTTATGTCACCTGAATTTTAAAAAAACTAATTTCGTAACTGTATTTCTTATTCTAAAAATGAAAAATATAAAGTTGATTTCATTTTACTTAATTTTGAACTGGACATAAAAATATTTAGTGAATTTATATTTATATTACAAAGTCACTCGAGTCTTCATTAAAAAATTCATGATGAGTATTTAATCAATTTTGTAAAACTAAAATTGGCTAATAATATAATTTTCGTCATTTTTCAAATGCCCCATTCTTACTTTGATTACATTTTTTGGAAGTACACAATGAAAGTTTAATTGAAATATCTCCTTTTTATATACATGAAAAAATGAATAAAAAATAAATTCTACTCCCTCCGTCTTTGGTGTTGAGTTTCTAAAAATGTTCGTAGATGTGATGGATGGGTAAAAATAAGATTTGATAAGTAGATTAATAGTGAATATCTACAAGGTTATTTACGAAAAGTTTTTAAAAATGTCCGTAAATGTCTAACAAAGTTATTTACGAAAAGTTACTGTATTATCCTCCATATCTGCATGCGTGCATAATATTTATGTATTTCATCAATAGACATTTTGATTGAACAAAATTAATACTAGTAATTTACTTATTTATTCAATGTAAGTTTTATTTTTTAATATAATACAGAGTAACAATTTTATAGATATATATAATAAAAATATGCGAGCCCGTGCGAAGCACGGGATAAAAAACTAGTAGTATTTGGAGAATCGGTCTTTTGGGCTTGTCATAGTCTTTAAACCAATCTAATTAATCTCGGACCGGTTTAAGTCCTCGACATATGCTCTACTAGTCCAAGTCTTCCATACAAAGTAATGATCATTTGAAACTATTTGAAGTGGACTAAATTAGTCTTGAGAACCACTTCGATCCTAATATTTCGAGTCCAAATCTTGCCGGTGGGCGTCATGTAGTTGACAATTGCGCTAGGAGACAACTATGTTCAACATAGATCTTCTGCAAGTACCAAGTGTTACCACTCATTTTTATTAAAGTCTAATTTACCCTTTCACAGTGACTGTTAACGGATATGAGGGACCATGATAAGATTCATCCTTTTTCAAGTCCAAATCTTTCCAAGTCTTTTTGCTTTTGGGTCTGTTTGGAAATAGCGTTTTAGATTAGCGTCAGTGTTTTGAAAAGACTATCTTCGAACAGCGTTTGACGTTAGCATTTTCAAAGTAATCTATGTGCCTGTTTGGGAACAGCGTTAGCATTTTGAAAAAACTATCTACGGTCAGCGTTTTCAAAGTGATCTACACCGTTAAAATTTTATCCAAAACGCTAACGATAATCTCTAACTAACGTCATTCCCAAACAGGCCCTATACTTTTAAAATTTTATCTAAAACGCTAAGGTAGTGTTTGGCAACTAGCATTTCATTTCAATTCATGCATTTCAATTCCAAAATTTGAAATCCTGAATTTCAAATGACAAGGGGAGGTGCATGGATTTCAAATTAAGCACTATTTTGAATGTAAAGAATTTGATTCAAATCCAAATTCAAAATAATTAAGTTTCCCAAACATGGAATTTAAGCCAAATCCGGATTTGAAATCCAAATCAATGTTCCCAAACATACCATAAAGGTAATTTCTATTTAGGAAGAGGCTCTTTCTCTATTGTGACAGGACCAAAGATGCCGCTTCAATTCCCTTCCGAAAAATGCTAGGGGTACACCAAAGGTGTACCCCTATATGTCCCCCACCCCCTCATTGTCCACTAAAAAAGGCAAAAAAATTAAAAAAAAAATAAGTAAATAAAAATCAAATAAAAATGTATGGTAGAGAGTGGGTGGTGTACATTTGGAGTACACTTTTTGGTGTACCCTAGCATTGCTCATTCCCTTCCTATTTCCCCTGTCATCTTCATCCTACACAACTGCATTTACGCCGCTCAACTGACAACCACTCCCTCCAACAAATTGAAAGCGCCAACAATTTTATCTTGTAATAACAGAGGACTGCTTCTTCTATAATCCATCGCTATCGCAATTATAACGATGATTTCGAAAACCTAGCTACCCAATTCGTCCATGTTATTTTAAGTCCCGGTCTATGGCCATCCAAGATATCATTCATGCTTTCTCGGCCCTCTCACCTTCATCTGGGCTACCCCTTGTCCCGTCATCTTTGTTCCCCATTCTTCTGTAAGTTGCTGAATCAATTTTTTATAACTGTGTTTTGGACTTTTTTATGATTATATATGCATCTTTAACCAAAATGGCAATGAGATATGATGATATTAGCAACTGTTTGATGGAGATTGAAAAAAAACATATGATGATGTTAGCTTTCGAACTTCATCTCATTTTTATTTTGTGACAAGGTTGCAATAAGAAGAGTGAAATTGTGTCCATATGTTTTTTTTTACCTCGCATTGAACTTACAGTGTTACCTATTTTTAAAATAACTGGCTTCTATATTAATCTTCATGCCACTGATGCCAATATATTGATGATTAAGGTGGTGGTTATGTTAACCAAGTCTCGTACTGTGCTCTTGAACCAATCCTTATACCAGATTCAGAGTTACACCAATTATTTATAGAACTGGAATATGATCCTTCTTGTTGAATGTTATTATGTGTTAAGGACTTAAGGCCTCTAGGTGATTTTAATATTACATGTTTACTTTGATTTTCTTTACAAAAATGAATCAGGATTTGGTTAGGGGTTGTGGGTGGAATTACTACTAAATTTATCATTGTTATCTAACCAGTCCGTCCGCATCATTTATCTCTTCTTTAAGTGTTAAATTTGGTTGAATAGGTTTTGAGAATGGGGAAAGCTATGTTTTCTTCTTCTTCTTCTTCTTCTTCTCCTGTTTCCATATTTGCTTCCTTGATCTATAAAAGAGGTTGAATACTTGAATGCTGAAACATTCTTAATTTCATGGTGTCCAAGGTTAAGGAAGAGTTTGAGTTTGAAGATTTTGAAGAGTTCAACATCTCTGACATGGCCAGCTCAAGAATTTCATTATATGGAGTGAGCTTCTTTACTTGGTGGATTTATTGGGCTTTGTTGTTTACAGAAGTAAACAGTGAACTTACCCATCCTGATGAAGGCATGAGAATTTCTGGTCTCAAGCTATTTAGCTTACCGTCCTTTAATGTGTAGTGTGGAGTACTTCGTATAATTCAATGATATATATGGCGTTGGATGACTTTAAAATGTTAGAAAGTGTTCAAGTTAGTCGGAGTACAATGGGATTGGTAAAAAGCTAAAATAAGATTTATAATTACAAAATACTCCCTTCGTCCCAAACTAAATACTCCGTAACACACTTTCCTTTTCAGTCGGTCCCAAAATAAAAGTTCATTTCCTTTTTTTGGCAAGGAATATGTAGCCATCATTATTTCTCTCTATCAATTTTAAACACACTTTTCACTTGCGAACACTTTTCCTGAACTTCATGCCTAGTTAAAATGGACTTTTCATTTGGGACGGAAGGAGCATATAATGAATCTCTGAGATCCTGTGAAAATGTTTGAAAGAGTTCAAACTCATTTCCTTTATGATTGAATAGAGACAACATTTTATAGTTATGAAGTCCTTGTAGGGATTGTGTATGAGGGTAGGTTGTTTGCATATTTTTTCCCTCAGTCCTCACCCTAAAGAGTCAGTGGGGATCCTCTTAAAATAAATGCTCTACTCCTTGAAGCAGAGATCACGTCTGCATACACCATGGCATATATCCTAATTCTCTTGGGTGGGATATACTAGGTTTGTTTGGCTTGGCTAGTGAATTTTCTAGTTTTGTGCAGTGGGGGCATTGCATTCCATCAAGGAAAGTCTGGTTGACCCATATGAGAACCTCAGAAATTGGAAGGGAGACCCATGCACCTCAAATTGGACTGGTGTAATATGCTACAATGCAACAAAGGATGGTTATCTTCATGTTCAAGAACTGTATGATTTAAATTGTGCTTCAAGATATTATATTCATAAGGCATGATTTGTTGTCAATATACTTCATTATTCTACCACATATTTTGTTGGTAACATTTTATAACTTTTGAATATAAATCCAACATTATTACTTCTCCATTCTGTCATGCACCAGACAACTTCTAAAACTGAACCTTTCTGGAAGTTTATCACCTGAGCTTGGGCGCTTATCTTATATGAGGATACTGTAAGTTGAGATGTCTCATGATTATCTCTCAATAAATCGTTTTTTTGGTATGCAATCTGTACCCCTCATGTCATTGTACTAAACTGAATCTTTTATTTCTCTTTTTGCTGATGAAAGAGATGTAATGTGGAACACAATTGGTGGGAGTATACCGCACGAGATAGGGAATATTACATCCCTGGAGTTATTGTGAGTGGAAGTTTCTCATAACCTACTACTTCTAATACTCATATCTCTTAGCTTACAACAACAACCCAATATACTTCCAACTCCGTTGGGGTTTGGGAGTCTAAATGTATGCAATCTTACCCTTGAAACTAACAAAGAAGTTGTTTCTGTTATATCCTTGATGCATTACTGCCCAAAACTTTATAGGTATTAAGAAGGAAAGGAGGTTTAATGTGCCATTTTGTTTAAGTCCATTATTTAACAGAGGTAGTGGTAGCCAAACCAGAGGGGGTTGGGGGCATGAGGGAATGAGCGTGGGGAATCATTTCCCGTCATTGATAACGATTAACGAAGCAAACTAAACAGGGCTTAGGGCTTATGTAGTGTTCTAATTTTTGTTCTAAATATCTAATTGGTTTCTTGACTTCTTCCTGCAGGCTTCTGAATGGAAATAATCTGACAGGTTCCTTGCCCGAAGAGATTGGGAATCTTCCAAACTTGGACAGGATACAAATTGATCAGAATCATATATCCGGACCCTTACCTGTAACATTTGCAAATTTAAACCGAACAAAACACTTGTAAGGGCGTGGCTTAAATGCAATTATTATATAACCTTGCTACCACTATGTAGATTTGGTTGTTACATACTTACATGAATGGTTTCTGCTTTTCAAATGCTGATAACTTAAATCTCTAATATTTTCTTTCTTGACAGCCACATGAATAACAATTCAATAAGTGGACAGATCCCACCAGAGCTTTCTAGACTGCCAATGCTTGTGCATTTGTAAGTTTGCTTAAAGGTTCTAACTTTTGTTAAATAGTGTAATCTAACTATTGATTCTCCCTCTATGTTATCTCTTTATTTTGAGAATTTTTAGCTACTTTCTGGGATTCATTGCCTAACACCATGTTTGGTTCATGGAATTTGAAAGGGAAAAACAAGAAAATGATATGGAAAACAATTTTTCTTGGTTGGTTAGACATGAAAAGAAATGAAAAGTGGAAGGAAAAGAAAATGAGAGGAAAAAATAAAACTAAGAAGTGGGAAAACAACATTCCTTCCATTTTTGTGAGGAAAAGGAGAGAAAACCTTTTCTTTTCAATTCCTTCCTCATTCCTTGAACTCCTTTGAACCAAATATAGTTTAAGAGTTTTTTGCTTTGTTGATTTTTCTTGCTAGAGAGTATTCTTTTACACTGTTTACAATATGTTTACTGTTTACAATATGTTTCTTGCTGTTTTTTAACAGAACTAATTTCACAGGTTACTTGATAATAACAACTTATCCGGATACCTTCCACCAGAACTAGCTGAAATGCCAAACTTGCGCATAATGTAAGCTGTCTTTCTTTCTTGACTTCACAACAACAACAAACCCCCTAGAATACCACATAGTGTAGGGTCTGGGGAGGGCATTTATAAGCTGTCTTTCTTTCCTGATTATATTAGAGAAGTATGATGCCGAGTATTATTTATTATAGTTTAAGATCGCACATTTAGGAGGACATATTACTTGGCTGTCACATATGCAAGTTTAGCACATCTTAGAAGATATAATGACTCCTGATATATTCACATGGTGCATTATATCTCTCTCCTGTTGTTCTGCAGCCAACTGGACAACAATCACTTTGAAGGAAGCTTGATACCAGATACCTATGGAAAGATATCCCACTTGCTGAAATTGTAAGCAGCGTGTCAAAGTCATGTCTTTTGTTCTTTATTAGTGTTATAGGTATGCGGTGATGCCAATGCTTGACACATGCAATGTCTAGAGTATTTTTTTCCATCAATATGAGTAAATGATAAATTATTTTATAGAAATCTAATTTTCACTACGAAGAGTTGAAGAGGTATGATGATGTTAGGTGGTACATATGGTAGACCATTTTATACTACTATATGTGAGATCTGATGTTAAGAATTTATAATAAAAGGGCACAACTACTGTTCTTGTTTCTCAGGAGCCTCAGGAACTGCAGTTTACGGGGACCAGTACCAGATCTGAGCAACATAGACAACCTTACATACATGTAAGCTATGTTCTTCAAAAGTCTGTCTTAATGTGAATTTGTATGTGATGGGACGGTGTATGTTGGCAAACAAAAGGTTTTTGCTCTTGTATGAATGTGTTGTGTAAAAGCACAACTCTTTTTACGGGACAAGTGTATGTTGGTGAACAAAAGGTGCATGTTGTTTTTCCCCACAAAAAGAGTCCTATTTGAATAAAAGCACAACTCTTTTTACGGGACAAGTGTAGCATTTGATTACACTACATTACAATTCTTAAAATAAGATGAATGATACTTAAGTGCAAATCAGTGCTGTCAGAACCAAATCAGTGTTGTTAGAACCAAAGTGTAAACCCCTCTTTCCCATTAGCCCGCCCGAACCCATCCAACCCAGCAGAAACGGCGGACCGGCTTGATCTGTCCAGGCCGCGGGCTTAGATTTTTTTAGGTTTCTTTTAATAAAATAAAATGACAGGAATAAGATTTGAACCCAAGGCCTTAGCACTTAACACTTGAACATTCTAACCACTTAAGCTACTAAACAACTTGTTACTAAAGTTATGAAAAACAATATACAGAGTATATAGTTTCTATGATAAATGAGATGTGTGAATTAAAAAAAAACCTTCTAACTATTTGTAAAAGTGAACATTTTGGTGTGGTACTGTGGTCCACTTACTTTATACTTTTAAAATAAATGAATGTAAAAAATAAGATTGTTTTATTTTTTATATTAAAATAATAATGAATAATTTATATCTAAAAAACATATTCATTTATAAAAATCAAGAAACATCTACTAATTATAATTAGAAATAGAATTAGAGAAAGAACACAAATTTAAATAATTATTCTTGGCATTATTTGTTTTTATCTAAACAATTTTGCCTAAAATGTATACTATTTTGAAAATATGAGTATTGTCTTATTATTTAAGAATTTGTTAGACAATCACTATTACTTGTAACTTTTTATAATAACAAATCTAATAGAATAAAAAATAGAAAGTGTGAAATAGAATATGCACAATAATATTAAAAACCAGATGAAGAAGTAAAAAACACAAATTAAAATATTTTTATTAACTAAAAATATCTAATAATATAATGAAAATAATTATTATTTTAATTATATTTGACCGGCTCGTTGACCCCCGGTTGACCAGTTCAACCAGCCCTTGACCCACTCACTCGTCCGAGTCGACGTCCAGTCTGGTTTGACGCTGGTGCATATGGATTCTTTGGTTGGCACTAAATTGTTATTACCGTCTACCAAACTACACATCACTTTCATCTCAATTTAATATTTGTTTTTCACATTGTAGAGATCTAAGCTTTAACCAGCTTTCGGGGAGTATTCCAACACGTAAGCTCTCTGATTATGTCACAACCATGTAAGCACCTTAACCTTCCATTGAACCTGTAAAGTGACACATCTCTTAATTATTCCTCCCGCCCATGTGTAATGTTCCCATTTGCTTTTTGCACAGTGTACGGTGTACCCTGTACCAGAATGAAATTGTGTGGTTTAGATTTATTTAGACATGAAAAAATCAATATGGACCACACAACTCTTTCCTTTTTCTTCAAAAGGAAAGGGGAATATTAATCAGGGACGGTCCAAAAAGGAGAAGGGAAAGATTAAAAGGGGCGGCTGGAATATTACTAAATCATCTCAACACTGTACTCTTTCTGAATCTACTACTATTTATTTTCTACACGCTGCAGTGATCTATCACACAACAATCTTGGTGGAAGTATCCCTACCAACTTTTCCAGCCTCCCTAATTTGGAAAGATTGTGAGTCTTTCTCATCTGTCATTCTGGAAATGTTGTGATCTAAAAGAAAAAAAGATATTGTTTTTTATTCTATCCACTAAAGCTCACACATGCTTGTACTGGTATTCAGAGAATGTTTTTCCATCTTTGCAGGTCACTTGCAAACAATGCATTGACAGGTTCTGTATCATCTATTTTTTGGCAAAATAGGAAACTCCAAGGAACTAAGAAACTTATCTTGTAAGATCTGAAATCAGAAAAGATTTCTTCATTAAATTCCCTTGTTAAACTGTGTTCCGAAGAAGTATAAAGGTACAACATTATGGAAATGCTAGAATCTTACCATTCTAAAGACCGAGTAGAAAACATTAATTTTTTCTGTTCTCTTTTATGCTCCTAACTCCTAAGTTTATTACGTCAATGGAGTGCTTCGTCATTTGATATCATTTAAATTTATAATATTGGTTACTCCAGGGATTTTCAGGACAACATGCTTTCAAATATATCAGGAAGCCAAACCATTCCACCAAATGTCACTGTCAGGTGTGTGAATTTACTCATTCTCTTCAGCATTTAGGAATTCTGTTACTTCTTACTGAAATGAACTAGACGGTTACTGTCTAGTGTGTGAATTCACTCATTCTCTTCGGCATTTAGGAATTCTGTTACTTCTAACGGAAATGAACTAGACCTTGTTTGGATTTGTTTAGTGATCAGAATTGAAGTACTGGGCATCTGATAAAACCACATTTGGTATGACTGAAATTCACTTAATTTCTAGAAAGCACCTAAAACCCATGGTGAATTAGAGGCATCTGATTCATCTGAATCCAAACACACGCATCAGACTCCATATCTGGAAAACTGGAAGCAGATCTAAACAAGGCCACATATTTAAGATAACAACTGCATAACATAAGCAATATAACATGCCCTTTTAACTGAATTCTGCTAATCTTTTTTTCCTTTAAAATTCTTTAGATTCCATGGAAACCCCTTCGGCAAAAATGCCAACACAATTGATGTCTGTGGCTCTGTTGATTACAATTCTAGTGACAACTTGGACACCAAAGACTCCACTTCCTGTCCCATCCAAGGGTGTCCCTATCCTTATGTATATGCCCTTCCTGCCAATAGTTGCTTCTGTGCATTACCTCTACTTGTGGAGTATAGACTAAAGAGCCCTGGATTCCGGGACTTCCCACCACACCAGATGGAGTTCGAGGATTACCTGACCTCTGGACTTCGGCTGAATTTTTCACAGCTAGACATTGATAAATTTACATGGGAAGAAGGCCCTCGGGTAAAGATAAGCTTGAAGTTTTTCCCAACGTATATTCCGAGTAACAGTTTTCACACATTCAATAAGAATGAACTCCTTCGGATCATGAGCATGTTCACTGGATGGCTGATACCTGATAGTGATCTTTTTGGACCTTATGAACTTCTTGGTTTCACCCTACTGGGCGATTATAAAGAGGGTAAAAGTTGCCTTACCCTCATCTTCCATCACTCAGGCCACTAAATTTTCTCTTTTTTGTTTCTAATTAATACTTTTGTGTGTGCGTGAGCGAATGTCATGGGGGAAAAGTGGTTTTGGTATGATATCATATTATCATTACAGCTGTATGATGTGTAATGTGTTTTTTACTTGTATGCTGTGTCATGCCTTGTCCATCCCAAAAGAGAGTTGTGTTCCATCAGAATGTATTTTTGTCTAAGAAAGACTGCCCCATTTCAACAGAAGAAAGTTAATTTTCACGGAATTCAATGTAATATTTTCCAAAAAGATGTTTCAACCAAGGTAAGAATGTTAAATTTAGTTGAACAAACAAATGATATTTCAAATATAAGTAGGATTGATAGTTTACCAGATGTGTACCTTACCAAAATTGAAATTTGTATCTGAATGAACTATGATTGTTTTGGGGATGGACGTTGTATGTATTACCATCTCTACTCCCCACAGTCCAAGTCCATCCCACTGGCTACATGAAAGCCTTAGAGGTGTCATTTAACTTATTTGGCAGAATAAACATTGGTTTACTAATGTTGTTTGTGTTTCTTGCAGATATCCCTATCCGTTCAGAATCTTCTTTAAGCAAGGGATTTATTGCTGGTATCATACTCGCATCAATTTTTGGTGCAGTTGCAATGTCTGCTTGTGTGGGGCTCCTCATTTTGAGACTGCATGTGCAAAAACACCATTCAACTTCAAAAAAACGTCAATGTGAGCATTTTAATGCATTCCTATTTTCATAAAACTGAAATTCTTGAAATATTCATGACATGTTTTGGGATGTGATGGAATAAATCAAAATGGATCTCTAAACTGTCTGCGCTTCTTTAATTTATGAAGTAGCAGTTAGTCAAGCAGTGCAACTTTCGACGTTGAGCCGTGGGTCTCTTTGGAAACAACCTCTCTACTTTCGAGTAGGGGTAAGGTCTGCGTACACACACCCTCCCCAGACCCTACTCTTGTGGGATTTAACTGGGTTGTTGTTGTTGTTTTATATTTTTAATTCTTAATTACTTTATTATCCATGTTTATAACTGAATGTATTTATTTCTTATAAAATGATTAATCTATTTACAATCACACTTTATAAAAAAATTTAGTAACATATAAATACGTTTTCGTTGAGTGAGATTGCCTTAAATTAACGATGTGATGTGATTTATTCTTTTTTGCTTGTTTTGCAACAAAACAAAGAGTTTGCTTAGCAATGAAATTAACATTGTCAAGTACACATGTTGTGCATGTTTTTAGTGTGCAGAAAAAAATTGTGTGAAATGAGCATTGAGTAACTTGTAAATGAACATATGACGAATCTAGAACAATAGCATACATCCAAATTTATAATATACAACCTTTCGAAGATGACAAAAGACTTTCCTTTTTTTCCAGATTTTGTTCTCTACACATTTATTTAGGTGATATTTTGCTTTTCATATGTAGTGATTTAATTAATATTTCTGAAATAAGAATAATAATTTTTGCTTGGGTCATTCTTGTGAGGCATAACACTTGTATTTATTTTAATTTATAAATTGCGATGTTATATTATTTTTATTGATCAAGATAATGTTGGATTATTTATGTCAATCTCTCTTTTCAATTGAGATTAATAAAAAATATTGTCCCCCTTTACCCTCTATTTTTGGAGCATGGGTTAGTGACATGCAAATTAAGAAATAAAAAAAATTATGTTTTGATGTTGATGTTAAAGTCTATGAAAAAAATAAGTATGAGGGAGTTACAAAAATATTACTACGTACTATACATATCGTTTGAAACAAAAATAGTGTGATACAGGAAAATATAAAACAAAAAATTGTAATAAAATTGAGTAAAAGTTATTTTAATTGAAACAAAGAATTTCAAAAATATAATATTCATTTCAACGTCTTTTATTTTTTTCTAAGATTTTGCAGCTTCCAGTTTTTTCCAACTATTTCCAATTTCTTTCAACCTTTTCCATTTTTTCCAACTACTTGCACTTTGATTTCAACTTTTTCTAATTTCTTCCAACTCTTTACACTATGCTTGGTTCAAGGAATTTGGTAGGAAAAGAAAAGAAAATAGTTTTCCCTCATTTTCCTCACCAAAATGGGAGAAATTTGGTTTTTCTTCTTCCTCTTAGTACATTTTGCCTTCTCTTTTTCTTTTCCTTCCACTTTTCTTTTTTTTTTTCCTCTCTAACCAAACAAGAAAAATGTTTTCCTTCCCATTTTCTTTTCCTTTCCGTCTCAACTTTCTTGAACCAAACATAGTGTTGTAGTTTTTTTCAACTGTTTCTAGTATCATGACTATCATCCAACTTTTTCCAAATCCTTCCAATTTATTTCAACATCTAACTCTCTTTTACTAACCCAAAAGAACAAGCTCTTAGTGAGAAATGGATAAGATCATGTTTGGAATGTCAGGGATTCACCCATTTTCAAGAGTTTCATAATTCCCTGGTTTCCTGAATCGAAATCTATACACATCATTCCCCAATCCAGGCACATCAGATTTTCAAAAGGCTTAAGAGTCTTTTTGGAATAACCTATGCAATAATTGCTTCTATCATGAGTGTGTTCTCATTTAAGAACTTAGGACACTTTTAAATAAATCACGCGTCTGATTTTCTTGAGGAGTTCTGCTTCTTTCTTGAATGAACATCAAAAGTGATATGTTACTGTTAACACATTTCCCCCCATTTTACTGTTAGATTCTTCTTTTTTGAAGCAAAAGAATTTTTTTCCCTCTAAAAACTCTTATTCCTTGAAAACATTTCTTCTAACTCGATGTTCATATGCTGACCATGTATCCTGATTTAATGCATTGGTTATATTTTTCAAAACATTGCCGGCTCTGATTGTCACATCATTTTGCAGCTTCAGTCTCTGTCAAAATTGATGGTGTAAAAGACTACACTTTTCAAGAAATGGCACTGGCAACAGAAAACTTTCATGACTCTTGCATTGTTGGACAAGGAGGTTATGGGAAAGTTTATAAAGGCATTTTGGCTGATGGAACAGTTGTAGCCATCAAACGTGCTCTAGAGGGATCCTTGCAGGGTGAAAAAGAGTTTCTTACAGAAATCGAACTACTTTCTAGGCTACATCACAGGAACCTGGTGTCTTTAATTGGATACTGTGATGAAGAAGGTGATCAGGTACTTCATCACTTCATTACATCTTTTTTAACAGAAAACTTCATGACCATTCAAATGCGGAACTTTTATGCCAAGACACAGCCCTTTCTCTTAATAGCATACGAAAAGCAGGGGTTTAGCGCTATTGGCCCCTTTAGGGAGTATCTAATTCGCACTATTGGTCCCAGTGTTAACTAAATACGCATTGTTGGCCCTTTTGTTTTAAATAAGTGGTGCCATTGCCCCCTATCACCCTATGTCCAACCAAATTCATGCACTCGGACAAAAAATGCGTAAAAGATGACACTACCCCAATCTTCTTCATTAAATTACTCCCTCCGTCCCAAATTTGATTACAAATTGGGATTTACGAGGCAAAACCTCCCACCTTTTCAAACCATTTTATTTACAAATTCGTATACCGATAAAAAATAAAAATTACATATTGAAAATTACATCAAAAGTTCTACAAAACAAGAGGTGACAAGAATATTTTATTTTATCAGATAATCTATGAAGGCACACAAATAAACAAAAGTTATCGAGAGGATAGAGAACAAAAATTGTAATCAAAATTGGGACGGAGGGAGTATATGATATGTGTGTCTGTTTATTCCCCATTTCTCTTTTTCATTCATTTCTTCTTGAACTCGCCCTAGCCACAGTAGCATTTATGTCTCACTTCATGGGTAAAAATAGATAACTACCATGCTCTTTAATGAAGAAGAAGAAGATGATAGGGTCATAGAGATGTCTTTTACTTGACTTAGTAGCACGTTTACTTGTTTTTTGTGCTTCGTATGACTCTTTCGACATAGTGGCCCGAATGCCACTTACGTAAAAGTTAAAAAACAGGGCCATTTAATTATAATTAACACAGGGATCAACGGTGCCAATTTGCTATAACGCATGGGCAGTGGTGCCAAAACCCTAAGAAAAGCTATACGATGAATGTCCCTACCTAACAATGTGATTTAGAAGTTTGAAAATCACACGTTTCAAATTAAAGGTGGCAAATAGATGGATTAGATAATTTTACCAATTGGAAACAATCCATGAGTTCATTTACGATCCATTAAAAAATTCTTCAAATCTCCAATTAATCCATTATCCTTTTAGTAAATCCATTTAATTCATCAATTAATAATTTTTCTATGAATGAATATTCAATAAAAATTACAGATCAATGCACATAATGATACTTTCGCATACAGTACCTAGTAATCAATGGAGAATTAAATTGTTAATTGATTTGAAAAATTCAATGGTTCCTGTGGACGTAGAAGATTTTCTAAATATGGTCCAATGAATGAAAAAAATGATAGATCACCACCAACCATCCAAATAATACAAGCTATACAGAAATTTGGTGGCTTCATATTTTGCAGTAGTTTAATTTATTCTCTCCTTTTCCTTTACATGCAGATGCTTGTTTATGAATACATGTGTAACGGTACTTTGAGAGATCACCTATCTGGTATGTTCCTACTCGTCATTTTGCTAAACCCATTAAATCTAATTCTACTTGGTGCTCCGAGTATTGCTGTAAGTGTCTTATATGTAGCCAAGACATCAATTCAAACCATCTTTCATATAATATTCTATTGGTTTTGTCTCCAATGTTGGATAAAAATTAGATCTATATGAATCTTCTAATGATCATCCTGGACCATAATGAGCTACTTTTTATCCTGGTGACTATAGGAAAATTTAAAGAATCTCTCAGCTTTGATATGCGGTTGAGAATGGCGCTAGAGTCTGCAAAGGGGATTCTGTATTTGCATACCGAAGCTGATCCACCTATCTTCCATAGAGACATCAAGGCTAGCAACATACTCTTAGACTCAAAGCTCACAGCTAAAGTTGCTGATTTTGGACTCTCAAGGCTTGCTCCAGTTCCTGATCTCGAAGGGGTTTTACCTAACCATGTATCAACCCTTGTTAAGGGTACTCCGGTATTCTCTCTCACTTTTTTTTCTTACAAACTTGCTTTCTATTTTTCAGTTCAAGCATTCTTTCTCTTGTTTTCCTTCGCATTAGTAGTTATGAATCATGAGGTGATGCTGCACAGACAATGAGGCACAAGGAAATATGAAATAGTGAAATACATGTGGAAATGCCTATCTTTAATAAAAATATAAAACAGTTGCCTGAAATGTTTCCGTGGAGCTAGTTTTGACGAAGTTTCTAGAATGTAATCCGAAATGCGGAAATGCTATAAAGAGTTCTCGTGGACGTGTACTAAAATACCATTATTCGACATTGAAACGTGTTTTCAGGGATACCTTGATCCAGAGTATTTCCTAACACACAATCTCACAAGCAAGAGTGATGTTTACAGTCTCGGCGTTGTGTTTCTTGAACTATTGACGGGAAGGCACGCTATTTCACACGGTAAAAACATCGTTAGGGAGGTAAGTTTTTCCCTTAATTTTTTCTTTCTTTCTTTTTGAGTAGAATATTTTGATTATTTCCAAGCATGATGCCATACTCACATTTTTTGGACATGCTTGTGCTTCTACCGGCACACAACAGGTGAACAATGCATACCGCGAGGGCATGATATTGGATGCCATCGACAAACGGATGGGACCTTACCCATTGGAATGCGTGGAAACATTTGTTACTCTTGCCCTCAGGTGTTGCCGAGAAGAGACCGATTCACGGCCTTCAATGGCTGAAGTTGTTCGGGAGCTCGAAGGTATATGTCGTATGATGCCGCCGCGGGTGGATAGTGGGATCAAAGAATCGTCTCAGTTGTTGAGCGCCGATGCTACTACTACTGATATGGCCAACAACCTGTCGTCCCCTGCATCGTCACCTATTCAACATTCTTATGCTACATCTGATGTCTCTAGCAGTGCCCTTCTCAGTGGTATTCTCCCTTCCATCTCTCCCAGATGACATCTTCACAACTTCCCCAGTTTATCCCAGTCACCCCAAGTTTGAATCTGACACCAAAGTTTGACATCACGTGTTTCTACACACACACACAGACAATCATTATCCGAGCCACGGACAATGATTGTCATTGTACGTGCATGTCTTTGAATCACATGTTGTCAAACTTTGATGTTTATACAGATTTACCCAAAAAATAATACTTAATAAATAAATGAATGTGTTCAGTAGTTTGAGAAAGAGGACAGTTTATGTTTTCCTAGGTTTATTTTTTGTGTTGCTTTTGCAAAATTTATTTTACCCTGACGGAAAAGTGGCCCATCCAGTTTTTACTCTTTTGTTGTTGATGAAATGTGAGAATATACTGTACTGCCTATTTGTTTGTTAATGATTTTGAAAGAGAATCAAGAGTGGGACAAAGGGAGCGTGAAAGTCTTTGACCGCTTTCTACCCTTAAAAGCATAAAAAAGAACATTTTCTACCCTTAAAAGCATAAAAAAAGAAGAGAGAAGATGTAAGGTAAAACTTTCCTCCATTTAGTACATTATTACCTTTTTATCCCTTTCTTCATATCTTGTTTTTTTTTTTAATTTCAAAAATTGTTCCAAAAATAATTCTCATACTTTGTAATGAAGGATTTCTAATTAAGCAACCCACCCACAAGGGTAAACGGTGTGGAGCAAGTGAAATTAGTCTCGTACCGAAATTGCTTATGTGACATTTTGATAAGAGGGTAACTCTGTCTTTTATCTTTTGGCGCCACAAAAAATCAGCAAGATAGTGTATGCATTTGCCGAGCATTGTGTGTCTCTATCTATCTTCTCTATGTATGGTATTTAAAAAAATATTTTAACTTAATAATTACAACCTTTTTTTATAATAATTACAACCCATTTATATAGACAATCATATGCTGTTTTCATATCCATTTTAAATTTCACTCTCAAAATTCTACGTAGTAATTTTTACTCTCAACAAAAAATTAACTGGACTTATTTTTGTAAATCGCTTTCTCTGTCGCAAATTGATTTATACTTTTATTATTTGAGTTTCTCGATATCTTTTGTTTACTTGTGTATTTTCATTGGTCATTTGATAAAATAAAATACTCTTTAGTATTTTGTTTTGTAAAGCTTTTGATGTATTTTTTAAATATGTACGGTATAATTTTTAAAATTTACTTCTACACTAAATTATAGATAAAATCATTTTCAAAAGATGGGATTTTAAACATTACTCGAAGAAAGTAAATGAATTTGGGATGTAGGGAGTATTTTCTGTTTAGTATTGAAATATTGTGAGTATGTTATTCCTACATGTATTGTAATACCAATATAATATAATGAGTGTCATCTTATTTTTAACACATTTTACAGAGTAAAATGGTTTTTATTTTTTAAATAATTTTTACTTTTGTTTCTAGATTGTAAAAAAGTTATATTATTAGTTTAATTCTAATTTTTACTCTCTACAAAATAGTAAATGAATTTTTTTGTATATTATTTTCTATTTAGTATTATAATCTTTTGTATCGTAATTGATGGCACAAATTATCTAATAGTATATATGAGCCACACAATGTGAAAGAAAATTTTGAGACAATCTTTAAAAGAATGAGAAGATAATTATGGGATGGAGGGATTATTTTCTGAAAATGGACGGACTTGTCAGCACTAAGAGCATTTACAATATAGAACATCACACCGCTCGGAGGGGTGGGGTGAGTGGCCGGCGCGACGCCATTTTCAGGGAAGGGGAGCGCTTGGCGCCGTGGCACATGTTAGACGTCGGGATTGGGTTGCGGGTAGATGGCCAGCAACGGCTACCATTGCAGGATTCCGCTGCGCCGCTAATCTAATTTTTTATTTTATTTATTGTTATAATTTTTTTTTATTTTATTTTTATTTATATATTTTTATTAATACATAAATATTTTATTTAACTTAAATAAGTTTTTAAGTAAAACTGATGACTATTGTAAATTAAATGGAAAGACAGGGTGAGAGGGCGATGATACTTTAGGTGTTTTGGCCTGGTGCAAAAAAGAGGGGAGAGGTGGGGCGAGAGGCGCCTATTGTAATTTGTAAATGCTCTTATGGACCAATCTCAATTTAACTACAAGAATTCACGCGTTTTGCTACGAAATGCTTGCGACAGACATAAATTTGTCGCAAGTTGCCCATATCCACCTAACGGCTAATCTTAATTTTCATATTTGCCGGTATAAAAATTGGGCCCGATCCAGACCTCCCATATGGATAATGATTGTTGCCCATATCCACCTAATTTTAAGGACGGATAAGATGGGCCGGACGAGCCGATCTAGGGGCGAGCAAGAATCTTGATCTCATTGTCTCGACCCAAAATTTCTTGGTTCCATCCTTATAATGTTTGGTTTCATTTGAGATGATAAATTTTATCCCGAAGGCATTTCAAACTCTTTGAAAATGGAAAGTGATTGGGACACAACAACAACAACAACAACAACAACCCAGTTAAATCCCACAAGAGTATGGTCTGGGGAGGGTGTGTGTACACAGACCTTGCCCCTACTCGAAAGTAGAGAGGCTGTTTCCAAAGAGACCCCCGGCTCAACGTCGAAAGTTGCATTGCTTGACTAACTGCTACTTCATTAATTAAAGAAGCGCATGCAGTTTAGAGATCCATTTTGATTTATTCCATCACACCCCAAAGCCAAAAAATGGTGAAATTTTGGCTCCATCGGAGATGATTGGGACACAAATATTTTCTTATTCCGTCTTATTGTCCTGTATGTTTGCATATATCTATTTATTTATTTATTGCTCTGTACATCAATGAAATAACACAAAAAATATCACAATTTTATTTTCTTAAGATAGATACAAATAGTATTTAGATTCAAGTATTAATTCGCATTACTTTTTTATCCAAGTTAATAAGATTTGTACACTAAAATGATTTTTTTAAATGTTTATCTAAGTTTTTATTACACTTTATATAAGAATTTATAATGATGTTTGTATATAGCATTTGAATTATTTCTACGGGTTAACAAATTACATAATAATTTTTTTAGGTTTATAGTTGATAAAATCTTTAATTAGGACGTTTCAAACCGTTCCAAACTTTCTCAATCCTGAAATAAATGAGATAAAGTACGACAATATAATGTCCCAAACCTATGTCCCAAACCTTTCTGACCCGTTTCCAAAAAAACAAAACTACGAACGACGCAACTAAAAATCCAGGCCATTTCTATCCCTGTTTACCCCTAAGCCGACCCTTATTTAAACAAATCTAGAAATAACGGAGGCATGAATATTTTAAAATAAATACACTAGAAAAAGTTTGACAAGTACTGCATATTACGAAAGGGTGAGTACCTATACCATAAATTCATATGTACGGCGTTTCCCATACATCCACATGAATACTCATTGTCGAGTAACTAACTACACACATTTTTTATTAATAGAATACTCATTTCGAGTAACTAAATGTTCATTTTCAAGCATAATTGAATTTCAGAGAAATGAATATTTAGGTACTCGAGAACGAGTATTCACTTGCTCAAAAATGAGTATTCAATTTCTCATAAATGAGCAATCGCCGCAGATGTACGAGAAATACCGCAAAAATGGTTGTACAATATATATCTATATTGTATATATAGGTGTACCTAGAGTTAGGTACATTCAGCAAATGTTCATTTTGAATCACTGTGGTGTTTATTTTAAAGAAACATAATGTTCATTCCAAGCCTGCTTAGCATAGTGTGTTTATTTTAAAACAACATAGTGTTTATTCGGAAACAACATTGTATTCATTTTGAGATATTTTTTAATTACAACTTTGCCATGATGTACGCATGCCAACTTGGATATTTAAAAAATGAGATTAGCCTTGTGCAAAAATCACGTGCTGGGCCCAATCTTAGTTTTTGCACAATGTTTGTGCTTTACAATTAGTACTAAATTTGATTTTTAATAACCACTTTACAGCAGTTTGAATAATAAAATATATATACTTATATTAAATTTAAAACTATCAAGTAAGATTAGCCATGTTATACGTTGATGCAGATGCTACGTTGGACGTGTGGGAAGACAAGGTTGGATAGGATTCCAAACGACATTATTCGTGAACAGGTGGGAGTGGCTTCTGTGGAGAGTAAGTTGCGGGAAGCTAGGCTAAGGTGGTAAATGGCGTGGTGATGAGGCTCCAGCGGAGATGTGAGAGGCTTTTGGTGGTGGGCGGGATTGTGGGAAGAGGTATACCTAAGAGGACATGGAAAGACGTGGTTAGCTAGCCAAGACCTAAGACTTTTGGCCCTTACCGAAGATATGACATTAGATAAGAGTATTTTTGGAGAGATAAAACTATGATAGTTGGGTAGTACGGTGGTAGCTTTTGTGCTTAACAATGTGTACTTTTTGCCTACTTTGTGTTTCTTTATGCATGCTCTGCGCTTCTGTTTTACTCGAACCTGGGGTCTATTAGAAACAGTCTCTCCACTTTCGAGTAGAGGTAAAATCTGCGTACACACAGCCTCCGAGACCGTACTTTCGTGGGACTCCACTGGGTTGTTGTTGTTGTTAAATTATCAAATAATTAGAATATTGAACATCTAATAATATTGGATCCTCAAAATTCTAATGTTTTGAAAATCAAACCAGACATCAAACCGAACTAGCCACTGGGTACTCGGGTCAATGATCTGGTCAATGACTCATAACTTCGTATAAAATATTCATGTTTATGTTTAGATAATAGAAAATTAAATAAGAGTAAATTTACAAAGCAGTCTTTTCTAATACGGTATTTTTTCAAATTAGTCCTCAACAAGCAATAATTATCATGTGGTCCTTTGTAATTGAAGTATAGTCTCTAAATAGTCATCTCTCAAAAATTTCTATAAAATGGTAGTTAAATAGAGGGTATTTTGATTTTTCATCATCTAAACTATGAATAAGTTCTCAAAATGGTCTTGTCAAATTAAGTGAGTGGCTGCTGGAGGTTCGGACCCACCAAGGGTATGATCATGGACTCCATTTCGAGAAAATATTTTTGAGAAAATATTTATTTAGAAATGATCAGTTTGGAAGTATCTTAATAATAAAAGAGCATTTTGAGAACACATTTAAGTCTAGCTGATAAAAATACCTTACATTTGACTGATATTTAATAGATATTTTTCGACAAAGGATAATTTGAAAATACATCTAAATTACAAAGGACCATATTGATAATTATTGCTTATTGAGGATGAATTTGAGAAAATATGTAACGCCCCAAAACCTGGCTTAGTATTTTAATTAATTTATAAAATTAATTAATTATTGAGCCTGTCAATACGAACATTATTTTCTAATTTGCCTTAATTAATGAGGGTTAATCCTTCATTGTAGAGCTCGTTGTTCTGAACCTGATCGTGCAAACGGGTCGTGAATGGGATCTACAGAGGCAAACTTCTGAATGGGTAAGTGCTGAATCAGAAAGAGGTCTGAGCCATTAAGTGCTGAACCAGTAAGAGGTCTGAACCATTAAGAGCTAGTATATTGCTTAACTATTCAGAGGCAAATGTCTGATCAATTCAGATAAGAGATATTAACCATTCAGACTCTGTATAATACTTAACCATTCAGAGGTAAATCTCTTAACCATTCAGACTTCTGAACCATTAAGAGGCTAAAACAAACAATCTGAACCATTAAGTGCTGAATCATTCAGACATCTGAATCATTAAGAGGCTGAAACAAACAGCCCCTTAATTATATAATAAACGCACAGGAGGTTACGGAAAGGATACGCACGGCGTAACGCACGACTGGTCTCTCTCTCTTCCGTTACCTTGTGTCCGCCGCTGTGCCGTCGACTGGAGACGCCGACCAGGAAGCCGACGCCGCCAGTCGCCGCCATCTTCCTCGTTCTCCGACGCTATTTCCGTCCGCGCATCGCCGAAGGAGAGGAGCAACCGTCCGTTCTCTCGCTCGTCTCCGCCGACCAGGGCAGCGCTGTGACTCGCCGTCGACTTCAGGAGTTCCGGCGACATTCTCCTCTTCTTCCTCCGTCGGGTGCAGCAGGCCGGCAATACCAGGAAGGAGTTGTAGCGGCGAGTCCTTCCCAATCCAAGGTTGAATTCGTCAAATTTCGAGGTGAATCGTGATTCTTATACCTATAGTTAGCTTTAATTTGTAGAATTAGTACTTCCTTAGCTTCTAATCTTGCAAATGATTGTGTAATTGGGTTTGATTGTGGTTGAAATTGTTGGGGGAATGTTGGGGTTGTTTTCCGTCACCTTCTCCGGCGACGCGCCGGCGGCGTACGGCAGTAGGCCGGCCGGGTTCCGGGCAGTGGCTTGCGTTGGTGCTATGGTCCAATCGAGTTCACTTGGAACCAATTGGGTCCAAACGGGTTCAATTGGGCTATTTAGATTCAATTGGGTGCAATTGGATGTGATTGGACTGTTTGGGTTAATTGATGTACTGTTCGGGTTGTTGTGAATCGCCCAACAGGGCTGTTTGGCCTGGCTTCGGGTTCGGGCAGCCGGGGCGGCTACCGGTGGGGGTGCCGGGGTTGTTCCAGCGACGATGGGGACTGCTCCGGCGGGAGCAGCGGGCCGGAGGATCGATTCCTTGGGCTCGATTCCGCGCAGGTAAGTTTGATTAACTGTAATTTGGATTTTTGATTATGCATGACGGTTTGTTGATTATGCATGACGCTACGTGATTTGCTGTGAATTTGTGAACCAATGTTAAATTAAATTAATCTTATTGGTGAATATTGTGGATTATGAATAATGTATGAGAAATAGGTCACCTAGTATAATTAGGCGGACCTGAATTGGATTGACCGATTTAATCACCAATAGGATATGGTTAGGAAATTGGCCATTGCGGGGCGTCGTCGCACCCCCGGTGGTCTTGGGTTAAAAACGTACGTACGGAAGTCCGCGACCTGTCCTGGCATCGCAGGGACAGGGGCTTCAACCCGCCCAAAGTGAATCTCCTTTGGGTTTCTGAGCTGGCCCTTTTATAGCATCGCTTGGGGTGCCATGACTCAAAGTAGTTGATGTGGAATAAAATTAGGACATGATGTTCAAATGGAAGGTGTTAACATAAATATGTTTATTTAATCTATTTTTTCTTTGTGATCACATGCTGTTGTTGATTGTATGTTAACGTGGTGCTATTCTGTGAGTTAATGCTGGCTTAGGTATATTTTCACTCAGCGTTTCGCTGAGCGTGTAGTCGTTGTTGTTTGACTGCACGCAGGTAGGAACACAGATTTGGATGGGCAACCCGGGCAGTGAAGTGGTGGTGTGGCGTGGATGGCTCTTGTTTACTTTAATAATTAAACTACATTATTTTATTTGATTATATGGACTGTTGCTCATTACTTTGGTTTTCTTATGCTTCCGCGACGTTTGGATTTATTTAATCACTCCAATGAACTATGGTTTTGTTTAAACTCTCTTTGGATGAATTTTTATAATTTATCTAATGGTTTAATAAAAAAAATCATGCATGCGAATACCAACTTAGTAACAACCCGATTCGCTAACCCACTAGTTCGGGTTACGCGGGTTGAGGTGTTACAAAATATCTTATTAAAAAGAGCCGTTTTGGGAATTTACTCATTAAATAATGCCATGTTTTGTGAACTATGTTTAAAGATAATAAAATATTATCACATAACATAAATATGCCTATTATTTCAAAATAATACAAAGCGTATACTCCCTCCATCTAACTTTAGTCTTTCCATTTGGACGGGACACACATATTAAGAAAAGATATAAATGTCATTTTCACTGTTAAATAAAATATTTAAATTTGTGTTCTTTTTCTTCTCCATATTATTTTCAATGGCATTATTCATATACTCTTTGACATTTTCTATATTCTATTATAATTAGTACATACTTCTTCATTTTATAAATGGCAATATTTGTTTAGATCTAAATCATTAATTATTATTTTAATATAAAAATAATATTTATATTTTACTTTGAAATATTTTAGAAGTTTATGAAATAATTACACTACACAAACATGTTATTTTTTATAAATAGTTAGAAGTTTTTTTTAATTCACTCAACTCAAACAAAAAAGACTATATATATACTTTTCTGCATGGTTTTAGTAGCAAGTGCTTGGTAGCTTAAGTGGTTATAGTCTTAGAGAGTTGTGTGATGAGGTTTTGTGTATAAATCCTATCTCCAAGATTTTATTTTATAAAAAAATGGAAAAAAAGTTACGGACAAAACCCGTGAGTCGGATGGGTCGACCCGGTCCACCGGGTGTGCTGGGTCTGGTCGGGTCGATACAAATCCCAATTGAACCGGACGAAAATGCTCTCCGGTTTGTGGTCCGACCGTTGGACTATCCGATTTGGTCCGATTCTAATAATATTCCAAAACTCGGGGACCATGTGGGGAAGCACACCTTCCAGGCCGGGCCGACTATGAATGTACGATACATCTGGCTTGTGGCTGTGTTTGGAAAATAGCTTTTCGGATAGCTTTTGACATCTTTAACTGACTTTGGCTTATTTGACTTATCGAACCGCCAAAAGCATTGTTTGGCTAATGGCATTTTCACTTGGCTTTTTGATCCGAAATGCCAAAATCCGAAAAGCTGATGGGAGTAGCATTTGAAATTGGTTTTTAGAAAAAATATTTTTTTAATCATTCTTCTTGAAAGATATTTTATAATATATGTAAAAAATAAAAGTTAATAAAAATTCAGAAATTAAAAAAAAAGTTTAAACTTTTAAAATTTCAAAAAAAAAAAAGATATGAGAAAATCAAAAGTAAAAATCATTAAAAAGTTATATATCAATAATTTATCATGAATTATATGAAAATGAAATTTTATACTCCACATATTAACGATTTATTTTTTACATGTACGAAAATAAAAAATAAATATTGTGTGTGTGAGTCTATATATATATATATATATATATATATATATATATATATATATATATATAGGTTCTGGTGAGAATGCGATCTTAGGAGAGAAATGAGAATGAATATGGTGCTTTAGATTGTGAGATCTAAGGGTCAGGATTGCATCAAAATTAAGTGCAACAAAATGGTTCGAAAATGCATCACGTCGAAATGCATCATAATCCTTTGAGAATGCACTATCTCAAAATCTGAGCGCAGAATGCAATCTGAGCCGCACGATGCATCAGATCCAATGGCTAGATTTCATTCTCATTTCTCTCCACAAGGTGCATTCTCACAGGAACCGGCCCCTATATATATATATATATATATATATATATATNACGGCTAGATTTTATTCTCATTTCTCTCCACAAGGTGCATTCTCACGGGCACCGGCCCCTATATATATATATATATATATATATATATATATATATATATATATATATATATATATATATATATATATATCGAAACAGCTATTTTCAAACAGCTAATTTTACCAAACATTTTTAATGATCAGCTAACTTACCTGCCTGTCAAACTAGCTAAATTAAACAGCTATTTAGAAGAGCTGATACAAATAGCCAACAGCTGGCAGCCAATTTCCAAACGAGACCTGTACCATAGAATTTCCTGGATGGCATCTCAACTCATAAATCATACAAGTAATAATAATAATTAATACACGCAAGGAATTTTATTTTAGAAATTCATCCATGGATGAAAATTTGTAAGCAAAAAGTCGTAGAAGGACACATGCACGCGTAGAGAAATGGTAGGAATGAACAGCTAGCATGTGATAAAGGTCTTAATTAATTGCTCATATAATATCCCAACACCGACCGTCCCAGACAAACCTCACTGGGAAAACATGAATAAACCCATTCCTAATGTTTCACTAAAAATGTGCATTTATTTATTCATTGAATCCTATTTTCATTCTGATAAATAAAAAAAAGTTGAATTTTCACTCCCAAAATTTTCAATATGGGTGCGAACAATACTCTGTCAAAAATAGACGTTATTTATTGCCGTCATTAAAGAGTTAAACTTGATTTCATAAGGATTTTATGTGTGATTGGTAAATTATTAGTAAATAGATTTGATATGATATCTACAATAGATATTCGTAAGTACTTTTTCGGTTTCTTAAAACAATTCCTATTTTGACTTTAGACCAAAATAAGATGTATATATTTATGGTTGACTTTCTAATTTTGATATTGATGTGATGGATAAAAGTAAGATGTGATAGTAGGTTATTAATGAGAAAATATGATGTGATAGATGAGGTAAGAAAAACTAAAAGTAAAAGTGGTTGTTTAATTAAAAGTGAAAGTATTTTAGGGAAAGAGAAAAAATGAAAGATGAAATGTTTTACTCTGTAAGAAACGGATGAAGTATAATAATGATTTTTAATAAAAAGTAAAAATATTGTTTGGGATGGATGAAAAGAGAAAGAGAAAGATTTTAATGGACACATGAAGTAAATGTTACTCTATATAAAAATTTTATTTATAAAAATTACATCTTAAAATAAATCTAATATTAGAGAAATTTACATTACAATACAGAAGCAGATGATGCAGAAGGTGTTACAGCACATACTAGGCAAAATGTTGAAACTATAAGAAGCGTAAAGAATAAAACTAAATATGTTTAGGCAGTTTGGAGAAACTCTTTAACTCCACGGGATCCACGTCTGTGTAATAGTTCTCCACTAAATCACTAGATGCATATTACAGCGGTGCATAACAACATGATGAGACACACTTCTCCAACCGTTATGACAAAATCTCTAATCTAAGATTTCCAACTCGCACCCTATTCCAATCTATTTTGGCTATCATATATATCTCCGCCGTTCAGTTCACGTTTAACTTCTAGATGTTACAATCTCTTGGACGGGAAGATCTCCTTCATGTGGATCGCAACTTCTTCACGCAAGGATGACTCCGGAGCGTGACAGGAACACTTTTAAATCAACGGCTATTCTGTGTTTTTTCCTCGCAAATTACGTACTCCAAAAAATCTCAGGAATTTGCTGCGTATATGTAGGCCTCTTTCGAACCAATCCTAGTAGGAATAGGTATGTAAAAGCTGTCTTGAACACAACTCATTTAGTCTTTATCTCCAAAAAGTTGGATTATGACTTCTTAAAACAGCTGGGCATTAATAGATTAATCTCAAGAAGTATATTTAACTCCCTATAGAATTCTACGGAGTATATCTTCTTAATTCATGTACTCCCTATAGGTAAACTCTTTCATGGAGTTAAGTTCAACTGTGTACCCACAGATGAGCTTGATAAGTACTTGCTTATTGTTTAGACAAACATTTTTTAAATTTATTTTTTCTTAATAAAAAAATTGATTTTTATGGGAAAAGGTTCACAAATTTTTTGTGTACCTTAGTTGTATCATAGAAACACTCTTTGCCATAGTAGTATAATATATTTATGTCTTGCTTAGTACAGATAGTACTCCATCCGTCTAGATTTATATTGGCTGTTTCGGTTTACGATGTTTGATTGAAATTATTTTCATCATTTTATACGAAAAATGATATAGAATTAAAAAATAAAAATTATATTTTAAAATACCACATCAAAAGATCTACAAAACTCGTGGTGACATTTCTATTTTATTTTATCAATTGACAATTGACTAATGAAAATAGAGAAAGAAAGTAAATAAAATTTGACACTGTAAATAGTAAACATACAATTTAATTTGGAAGGGATGGAATACATCTTTTAAAGTACTCCGTAATTTTTAAATAAGTGTTGCTAAACCTACTTTTTTTTAATGCACTAAATCTACTTATGGTTTTGTTATATCTACTTTATTTATGACAAAGGTTTAAATACACCTTTAGAGTTTAGGGTCATTTGATAACGAAATGGATAGAATTAGAATTGAATTAAGAGTTAAAATTTTATTTGATTGATTTGGATGAAATTGAATTCTCAAATTCTAATTTAGTTTTGGCACTATCAATTCCAAAATCACATATGTAAAAATTTTGTGAAATAATTTAAAAACAATATCCCTCAATTACAACGTTTGCATCCGGAATTCAACCGAAGGAGAGAGCATATATGACAACAATTTTTGAACGAATCAAAATGCGAAAATATGACATAAAAAGCTGAAGGGTTTAGTTAGACTAACAAACTACTCCGTATTTTAAAAAAAACAAACTAAGAGTATTTATTTATTAAAATACTAAAAATAAATTTCACACACTGCTATTTTTTCAGTTAAAAAAAAAGTGAAGTAGATTATCCTTCTTTTTTTTTTTTGAATAAGTAGATTACCATTTTTAGTTCTTAACAAATTCCACACACATTTTCTTTTAAATTTTCAATAATTAATTTTATGGAATCATTGGTGGCCGAAAGGTGTGCAAAGTTACCAACCGCACAGGACCCCTAAAATTTTAGGGTCTCATATTTTTGAATTCATCATTACTTTTAAAACATAAGTATTTCAAAATAATAAAA